CCCGTTGTTCTTTTTCAGATCACTTGGAGGTTTTTTTCCTGTTTATTATCCGGACATGCTGCGCACTGTGTGTTGATTTGACTGTCACATGAGGAATCTCCTGCTGGGATCATTGATGCATTCTTTTCTTTTATATGTATATATATGGCAACGACTCCTAGGCTATGGAAGAGAAATGTTGGTGATTAAACCAAAATTGGAATGAGCTACAGGTGTTAATGGGAGTTAAGTTTAATTACCCTTTCCCAGAAAACCTGCAACAGTGTGCTGGGTAGAGTCATAAACAAAAATTCTCCTTAATTGACATAACAGGAAAGGTACTTCAGTGAGCAATTATGCTGATGTCCTGGACTGGCACATGTGTGTACCACAAATATATCTTGTACTTCCTGCAGAAATCTTTTAAGTAGCTATAAGGAAGACGCTCTTTTTTTTTTCTTTTTTTTTTTTTTTTCCAGTGGTTCATGAAAACGAATCACTTAAGGCTCTTTTTGAGGAAAACAATTGAACAAAACAATGCTTTTTGTACGACCGGCCAAAGCACAAAGGATGCATGGGATGTTTTTTTTCTTTGTTGTTTCTGTCAGCAGGAAATTTTGCTATTGGAAACGACTATAACATGCACTGTCCTTGCTCGATGTAATCACTGTCTGGTCCTGCAAGCCGGGGTTTGTTTCTTGCCTCATCAAACTGGCACGGGCACCGTTCTGCTTCACTCTGCAGGCTTTGTTCAATCCTGAGTGTCCGCACACTTACTCTCCATCCAGACTGATGCACAGTAAACAAACTTCAGGAGTCGGGTGGTCCAATGAGTGCTGGGTTCACGCAGGTCAGGGCCCACGGCTAGAATGCTGACTTTGTGAATTGCCTCCTTTTTTTTTTCCTTAGACAGCTTAAAATCAGAGTGCTGTACAGTGCAAATAGCTTCGAAGAGTTTTCAGGTGTAAATATTCCTTTCCAAAACGTGACTTTGATGTGTTCAGGACTGCTTTGTTTCCCTCTAGGTTAGTTGTAGGTTTGTAACAAAGAGCCAGATCCGATTGAGTAAATCACTTGTGGAAGTTAATTGTTCGCAGTGAAAGCTGGTCTGGCTCATTTTGCCTCTGTCGCAGGAAGAGGCAGAGGTGGTGTGCTGGATCGGCGTTCTAAACCAAGCATTGACGCGACTTTAATTTTGATCAGATGTCTCTCTTCAGGGCATTAAAGAAAACCTGCTCAGTAATCAAAAAGAACCTCTTCTCTAGAGAAACGTAAGAAAAAAAATTTAATGCATTTTACAGAAATAAAGTACTAATATAAAATTTCAGCTTTGTCAAATTTCTTTTGCAGGCTATCATAAAAGAAACCTACTTCTCCATATTTGGCAGTCATCAGAATCAAAGAATGATTTTTTTTTTTTCTTGGAAAAAAGAATATCAAATTATTTGTGATGTCAGATATTGTACAATGGTAACTTTATATTCCAACTGTTTTTATTCACTGCTGCTGTGTTTAGATTGTTTGTGCCTTCTCTCCATCAACATTTTCAAATGTTTTCCAAAACAAGTTATGTGCTTTGATTTCATTAACTAACAGTCTTCTTTTATTCTTTCCTTAGGACTGAAGCAGTGAGAATGGAAACCACAAAGATTAATATGTCCCGCGTCCCACTGGTCAATGGAGGCATCGACACTGCCATGCTCAAGGCACACAAACCCCGTGTGATGTCCAAAAGTGGTCACAGCAACGTGCGGATCGACAAAGTCGATGGCATTTACCTACTCTACCTTCAAGACTTGTGGACTACAGTTATAGACATGAAATGGAGGTACAAACTCACCTTATTTGCTGCTACTTTTGTTATGACCTGGTTCCTCTTTGGAGTTATCTACTACGCCATTGCATTCCTTCATGGTGATTTAGAAATAAACAAGTTCACCCCAAAGCGTGAGCCGTGTGTCAAGAACGTAGACTCTCTGACTGGGGCATTCCTCTTCTCCCTGGAGTCGCAGACCACCATTGGCTATGGATTTCGTTTCATTACAGAGGAGTGTCCTCATGCCATTTTCTTACTTGTGGCCCAGCTGGTCATCACCACCTTGATTGAAATCTTCATCACAGGTACCTTTCTGGCCAAAATTGCAAGACCTAAAAAAAGGGCAGAGACTATTAAATTCAGCCATTGTGCCGTCATTACGAAACACAACGGAGAACTTTGCCTGGTGATTAGAGTAGCAAATATGAGGAAGAGCCTTCTGATACAGTGTCAGCTCTCTGGGAAGCTTCTTCAGACATATGAAACCAAAGAAGGGGAGCGGATCCTGCTGAATCAAGCCAGTGTCAAGTTCAACGTTGACTCCTCTTCAGAGAGTCCATTTCTCATTTTGCCTTTAACCTTCTACCATATTTTGGATGAAAGCAGCCCTTTGAGAGATCTCACACCTCAGAACCTCAAGGAGAAGGACTTCGAGCTTGTGGTGCTCCTGAACGCCACGGTGGAGTCCACCAGTGCTGTCTGCCAAAGCAGGACTTCCTACATCCCCGAGGAGATCCACTGGGGCTACGAGTTCGTGCCTGTGGTTTCTCTCTCTCCAAATGGAAAGTACGTTGCGGATTTCAGTCAATTTGAGAAGATAAGGAGAAGCACAGATTCCATTTTTTATAGTATGGACTCTGAAAAGCAAAAACTAGAGGAGAAATACAGGCAGGAGGATCAAAGAGAGAGGGAACTGAGAACGATGCTGTTACAGCAGAGCAATGTTTGATTGAATGGACAAACTATTTTGATTAATCCTTTTTGCAAACTGAAAAAAACATACTGTCTGTGCCGTATGTCCACTATGAAACCAGCAGTGAAGTCCTTTTCAGCAAATAGCTTTGGTGTATAGTAAACCTATCCCTTTATTTGGCTGAGTTGTTAATCAAGTATTTTGTAATTAGGCACGATTTCTTTGTTCATGATCGTGACTTAGCAAAGTTGGATTTGTATGAAGTCTCTGCCATATACCACCCCTAAAAGCAGACGCACCGCTTTCCGTTTGGAAAGTGAAACTGGATGCACTGTGCTGACTCCTTCAAATATTTATTTGACACTGTTTTACTGTGAACATGCATTTCAGAGACAGCACATAGTACTGCTAGAAGAAAATATGCTCCTTTAAAATCTGTATATTTAAAATGTATATTCTCATGCCAGGTATTGCCTTCTTGGCGATTCCTGGCACTGACGGTTGGAAAGACAAATGGTTGGATGTGGGAAGAGTCTGCAGGGAGGTGATAAACCCCTTCTTAAATCTCGAAGGAGGGTGACAGAGTAGTCGTGCTGGGTGGTTAGGAAGGGAGCTCGCTCTCTGGCTCTGCTACTCAGAGCTTGTTTTGTGATCACTCACTTTTTTAACCTTGTTAATGCCTGATTTATATATAATAGCAAAAAGGGGAGATGAGGGCAAGATACAGAGAATCGTAACAGAAATCAACTAAGGTTAAAGCTGGCTTTGAGACATCTGTTTTTTATCCAATGTAAATAGCTTGTAATAGCAGCATAACAATACCTTTCTGCAGATTGCTTGCTTTGCTATGGACCGTATTTAATTTTGGTTAAAAGAAAGCTGTTTAATGTCTGTAGACAATACTTACTTTTTCTGGCAACCATAAAGGACAAGCATTCCTTTTATCCATCTCATTTGTGGTCTATTAAAACCATTCCATTAATAAAGGAATTTAATTTGAGCAGTTTCTGATCTCTTTGTGGCATGGGGAGAGGGAGTGGTACCTTGGAGATGTTGAAAGAGCCAAGTGCTTGGCATGGGCAGTTGCATCCAGCACACAACCCAGGGGCTTGGCAGATCACTAAAGTGGTCAGAGTACAGGTAGCAAATCAGGTAGCGGTGGCGTCCACCTAGCATGCCTATTGTATGTGGGTCAGCTTTTTTAACGAGACTTAGAAGTTGTTTCTGACTCATATAACTTTGGCAGCTTCCTGAGTTCTAGAGATTTTGCTCCTTTAAAGCTTTGGCAAGGAAGAGCTGGATTAAGTATGAGTTTTGAGTCTGTGGGCCAGGTCTTGGCCTGAGAGCCACCAAGGACTGCGGTGATGAAAGGACTTTTGACATCGTTACATTTACTGTTACTGTGCTTAGCTTCCCAGCACCGTGTGGCTTAGCAGAATGCCGTCCTGCAGTCTGCCGTACAATACTCTATACAACAAATTCATCTAGCTTGGTGTCTAAAGAGGCACGCAGCAAGTTGAGCACAGAGATGTCCGTGGCACCAAGAATGAATGTCAAGAGCGCATACTGCGGGGTGGGGTGGTGGTAAAGGCGGGCATGAGAGTCTTAAAACTGCTCGTTTAGGTAAATGGTTAGATCTCCTGTGTGAGAAGCCAGAGATCCAAGCACTTGTCTGAAGAGAGAAACTTGACTTAATCCAAGAAGGTTCCCTATGCACTACAATGTGATCGAGTTTTCTCAAACCATTGTAATTGCAGGGCCTGACTAGCATTTCTTGAAAGAATTTCCAGGGGGTATTAGCCTGTGTTGTCACACAGGTTTTCATTTGCAACCACATATACAGGATGTTAATGTTTAAATTACTGATTCTTAATTTTCAGTTTTCCTTCACTTTCTCTGATCACTTGTTTCGTTGCAAAGAAGCGTGTGTGCTCCACGACTTTTTGCAGTCACTTTGTAGATCTGATGTTCGTGTCCTACAACTCAAAGACACTGCTTTGGGACGCTGAGGTGAAAGTGTGCACATGTCTTAACCTTCCTTCTGCTAAACCTTAGCCTCCATGTTTTGATAATCAAACACACGCTCCAGTTCTTTCTTATCCGGGTAAGTGCTCAGCTCATTCCCAAAGTCATTGTCTCAGCTGTGTATTGACTGTAAAACAGCTTCACCAACAGCAAGTGAGATGGTTCTTCTCCAGAAACACCTACCGATGAACTGATCCCCTTCCTCCCATCCCCTTCCCATCCCTGGAAACAGAGGCACGTCAATTGACGCTTTCAGGTAAGCGCTGCATTGATTTTTAATAAACTTGTCTGTTATTGCACTTTCTTGCTTGTATTTTAAGAAATCCTAGCGCATTGAACCCTGTAGGGTACACACGTGCCAGGTCCCAATGAGTCTACATATCTCTTGAGCGTCAGATCTAGGAAGTCCTGTGGGTACCCTGCTGCATCAAGGTACTTGTGTGGGGACTTTCATGGCAGCCATTTAGAAGCACAGAGACCAGGCAGCTCCAGGCTTTGACAGGTGCTGGGCTGTCATTTTTTAGGATCTTCACTTTGGGAGCTAACAAAGCAGGCAGAGACTTAAGTCCCTGCGTACAGCAATCCCAACCAGTTGCTATGTCCACTAGGCCATTCCAGTCATTAGGTTATCCTGAAGAAAAAACATCATAAGCAAAAGCCTTGGAAAGAAAAAAAAAAGCATCACATAAATTATTTTCTCTGAACTTTCTGTCCTACGAGTCTTTAAAAAAAAGAAAAGAGAAGAAAAGGAAAACACTAGAAGTCTTTGGCAATGTCAGAGCAAACCTCCATCAGGCAGTGAGAGAATGTACAGTAGTATTATATACATGCATTAGTATAATATATAATGCACTGCTATTCATTCATTCCAGCTTCAAACACAGTCTTATTCTGCAACGAGCTGTACTTTTCCTTCCCGCTTTCGTGCAAGCATAACTTTCATTGCTCCTTCCGCAAGTTAAGAAGAGCAGAAGTGGCCCTGGAGCAGCATGCTTAGCTGTAGAGTACTGAACTGCAGTGGAAAAATATCATGACATGTGGATCCGATATGAATCACCAACAAACCACAACCTCTTGCTGATTGTGGTAAGCACTTCTGGCTGTGTAAACACAGCTATGGTTACCTCGGCTGAGGACTGACAAGATGGAGAACCAGAAAGAAAAATTTCCATGACCATTTCAACACTGTCTTACTCATGAGTAGACTGTCCTGCCCACAGGGTGATTGAGGGTGTGAGAGCCTTCATCCCGAGGGTGTCGAGGCAGAGCATCCACAGCTCCAGCAGGTCAGGTCCCTACACAGTTGACACTTCACCTTCTCACTCTTCTCCCTGCCTCACAAATGGAAGATGCTGCTTTGGGAACCACTGATGATTATACTAGTCTTTAAAATGTAGTAACTTTATGAGTAACTTTAAATTAATTCTGAATCTAAAATTTCAGAGATTAAAGAAAGCAGTGGAGCCCTATGTCCCTGTGTGCACTACGTGCATGAGTATGTCCGTTAAGCAAATCCTCCATTCCGGTCACTAGATCATTCAGAAGAAACTAGTCATGGTAAATTAAAATTTACTTTTTTAAGTTCACTGAGGAATATGACATATTTATCTTTCTTTTATTCATGAGTTATCAGTGAGCAAACATTTTTAGAGTCTCTTTAATTATTTGGACTTGTACAGCATACAGCTGAATGGGAACTTATTTCAGCTCATGGACTGTTTCTGAGCTATTTGCTTTGGCTTCGGCTTCAATACTTCATTGTTCTTTTTTTTCCCTCTTTTTCGATTTTTTTCTGTGGAGGTAGGTGACCGAAGAAGCATAATTTCACTTCTGTTGCTTCCTTGCAATGACTTGGGAAGGGAAGAAATGAACCCCCAGAGACTGCAGGCTGACTGTGCCAGAGTCAGATCCACCATCCTTCACAAATGCTTCACTTCATTTTCCAAACTCATGACAATGTTTGTGGAAAGCCAAGAATGTGACAGGGGAGCACAGTGGTCTCCAGAAAAATGTGGTTCTCTAATTTTCTGAATAGAGGTAGGAGGGCAAATAGCCATTAGGTCTAAAAGATATCGAGCGAGGGGATGCAGAGTGGAAAAACAGAGAGAAAAAAACCCCAATCATCCACACTCATAGTTATCCGTATGAGCGCCACTTTACCACTTCCACAGGATGCCAAGATAAAAAAACCCAACAACTCTGTCAGCTTTGCTGAGATGTCTCAAAGGACTGGGAAAAGTGAATGCAAGTTCTGTATTTGAACAAATGTTCCTGATGACTTCGGAATGTGTTTGCTCAGTGTTAGTCTGATGACAGCCTGATCTTGAAAGAGAACATGTAAGACTCTGTGATGACTATCAAATCCGTGATGGAGAGAAGCTTAAAAAAAGCATAGTGTGTTCTCTAGCTCTTGCATATTCATTGCTAATATACTGTTTGGCTGCAAAGCAGTCATGTCCTGGTCACCCTCACGTTGTTGGGATTACATGAATAAAGGAACGTCACCCTGACTTCTCCGCTCAGCCTTCAGCAGATACTCTCTGCAAATACTGGATTACCAGAACAGAGCCCTTTTAACGCAATAGGTACTGGTTGAACATCCTGTACCTAAACGGCTTGAATGAGCTTTTGGAGCATTTCCAGGACATCATATGTTCCCTCAGTAGAGAGTGTTCAGAGCTGCCCTGTCCTGTGTTAGCACACAGCGCACGCAGCAAAACAACGTAATTCCACAAGTGGCACAACACACATATGCTTTTTACATCTCCTCCTAACAATAAATTCCGCAATGGTCACTATGCACCTCACCATGTCGCATGACTGTGAAATTCATTCCTTCTTTACTATCCCCTGTAAATGTTTATCCAGACAAAATATGACATGATGACTGACCTTACTGATACTGAGAGGAAGAAAGTGTTTAAGGACAGAGGATTTATGACTCTGACAAACACATTGCCATGATTCTTTCACAGCGGACAAAGACCGTACTTCCCTACCTGCCTGCTCCT